CAATGCTAATGAAGGGCAAAACAGATAGAGAACATAATTCAGGCTGAACTTGCACTTTTTTTTTCCTCGCTGCACGTTGTGTAGGCAGCATTCGACTGGGTGCAGGCAGGAGTAACACAGAAAAGCTGAAATCAGCTGAATGCTGTGGAGATCGCCAGTTAATGATTTATGCATCAAAAAGGTTGCAGTAGTGAAGCCCGGCACCAGAGGGCACGCCATCATGCACTCTCACTCTGAAATCTATTTCAGGAGCTCTTCGTTTTTTTTTTCTCCGCTGTGCTGGATAAACAAGCCTAAGCAGAACTTACATAGAGCGCAGCACAAAAAAAACCCATTAGGAGAACAGACGGTCGACTATCTCTGAAGTACTGCAGGTGTTGCGGTTCATGTTTTTTTGTTTTATTTTATACATATAAAGAATAGTGAATAACGCAAATCAATTAAAAAAAAATCCCAGACATAGAAAACAATTTCAAAGCTAATAAGAGATCGCATTGTCAGTTTTCATCAGCGTACAGTGAGATGCCTGCACACTTAGGGGAAAAATGATTCAGCTAATGGACGTGCATTTTAAAAGGCAGCTATTTTCAACTCAGTATGTTCTTCTCTTTTGCCCTCCTGCTTTTTTTTTTCTTCCCAAGTGCAGACTTTTGTAGTACAGCCAAGCCTAAATAAATTACCTCTGTCTCCCATTGTGCTGCTCCAATCCCGGCTTATCGTCTGAAGGAAGAACGTGAATAGGCAGTCTGTAATGATATCATTTCCTAACAAAACCCCTGAATTATGCACTACTGCTTCTCTAGTTCCACTACACTAGTTACTTTGCTCCAAACTGCCAACTATCCAAAGACTAGAATGCTGGAATTGGATACAATATTAAAATGTTCAGTATGAGAACATATTTGTATTAATCTTTTAAAATGTTGCTCATTTGAAGTTCATACTGTATGTATTCTTAACATCTAATGATTATTTAAAAATTCGTACATCAGAATTTATATAAATACTGGCTAATACATTACCTAAACCCATCAAAATAAATCCAAAAATGAAACGATGCAACATTTGTGAAGCATCTCTGAAGGTCCAAATGTCTTCCATGGATATAGTGTAAATTTCCTTCTCTAACGAAAGCATCTGGGAAAAAATATCCTACAGATGACAGATAGATCTGCTTGTGCCCTGATCTTCGATGTGTCCCCCTATAAACAAGTGAGAAACTCTTCTCCCCTTCCAACAAACTGAAATGTACTTTTCTTCAACTGAGTTCAACACAAACTGCTCAGTTAGTAAAGAAGCCATTTATGTGCATCTAATTTTGTTCTTCATAAAAAATGCAGCCTATGCTTTTAGATCATAAGATGCCACAATAAGGAGCATTTTTGTAGTGTATATTATAACAATTTCATTTAACAATATACTTTTTAGGGATGTTCTGCGGCTAATTCCTGCTTAAGGGTCTGGTTATCTCTGGGAAGACATTGATGAAAACAGCAGGTGTGACATTCTTTCAAAACTGAAAATCACTGTATACTGAGAAACACATTCTGAAGGGAATTTGCAACCTCCACATTATTTGTTTCCTGCCTTTTGCCTTTTGCCTTTTGCCTTCTGCCTTTTGTTGGGACAGAATGCTAAGAGCACCTAGGATAGTATTACCTTAACAAAGAAGTCTCAGAGTTCGCAACTATTGTTTCTGAATGACCAGCTACGGTACAACGCACTACTAAACACCTGAAACAAGCGTGCTCGTGTCACTTCTCCAAATATTACTCACACTCACGATAAAACACACTGAAATGGAAAACTGCAGTGAGCTTAAAACTAAGGACATTTTCCAAATATATTAGGCAGAAAATTCTGGGTACCGCCAAGGATAAGCCAAGCGGAACATAGCACACATATTGAAAAGTTTGGGCTCCATCCAATGCCCCTTGGGAATTTCCTCTTAAGTTCAATTCCAATTAAGGCCCACTAACTTGGTAGTAAATTAACAATCGGATCAAAGGCCTACAGAACCCATTTGCCAAGCTTGGGCTCTTTTGCAACTACAGTAAACATTACAGATTGCCTCAGCATCGTTTTTCATGATTGGCTGCAGATGGAAAAGGCTATAGCTATTAATCCCTGGTGTCAGAATGCAATAGCTGGGTACGGGCTGCTTCCGAACACATTTCCCCTAATTCCTCGTCCTGTCTGCAAGTGAACTACGTACATATTTCAGCTAACATTTCCTTTGCAGCCCTGACAGCATAAGCTGGTTATTGAATCTTGTAGAAAGTGGAAGTGTGTGATCTCAAAAGCAGACCAAAGCCATAGGAGTGAAAATCAGAAAATCGTCGTCGGAATGTACAGTAAGTGCAACAAAGAAAAACACTAATCCAATTACACAAGCAGAGGAGGTGAGATGTTAAGTTTAAGTCTTGCATTTGTATTGTGATCAGAAAGCTTTTTTTTTCCTCAAGAAGGGCACCTTTAAAGTTGGCAATTCCATAAATCCTTTCACTTTGAACTTTTTTCCCTTCTTCTTACATGAAAGAAGCATGAAAGTTGAAAAGGATACAGGGACTACAAGTTTCTTAATGCCAAACCCAGCCACTGTGGCCAGAAGCAAGCCCTCTCTATCATAATTAACAGGGGATTTGCAAAATTTGGAGGCCAAGCCTGAGGGAAAGTAAAAAAAAAAAGTGCTAAAGTATGGATATAGGAGTCACAGATTTTCATTTCCATTTGATCAAAAGAGATCTTACGTGTGTCTTAATTCTGATAATATTCAATTCTCTGAGTAAGCTGCCATGTTTTTAAGTGATGTACGCTGTGTTTAGATGAAAGTGGGGTATAATCCAATGGACACAAAGAGAAAAAACAGATTTAAACTAAATACTGCAGCCTTTTTTAAAGGAATATCTGGGCATGACGGTGCTTCCCACATTACAGGTTTGAGAACCATTTCTTGAGGATGAGTTGTGCACTGACATAATATAAATATTTATGTGTTAAAGGTTTTTTATATCCGGGACCTTGATTTCTATTTTCAGACTGTTTCATGCCATGTTGAATGTTTCCCCCTCCGTAAGAGTGGGGAAGCTATTTTTCAACAATGTCCAAAACCAAGTCAAATGCCAGGTCATACAGTAGGTGTTTCAAGCTGGGTTATTTCCTCTTTATGATAACGACATAGTGTTACACCTCTGTACTTATACTGCTATACAGGTGTTTACTGTAACCAAACACAAAAGAATACGGAAAGGTCTTGTGTTCGAAGTCCAAAGAAGTCAATATGTTTTACTGAATAAATTAAATCAAAAAATAATAAAATATTGAATAATGTATTTAAGTGAACCAAACTTCATTTTTTATTAATAACTTTAATAATAAAGTTTGTAATATATGAACTTTCTTTATATAGCACCTTTCATACATTCAAATGTATGGAAACAAGTGCAAAATGCTTTACAGAGTGAGCATAGACTAACATAAAAGATAATAATAATAATAATAATAATAATAATAATAATAATAATAATAGCAATAGGAAATCCCCAAAAACAAAGAGGCATAGGAGGGAATCAAAGTAAAAACGGTAACGATGTAAAATGTGATTGAAAAGAAAAAAAATGTCAACATAAAATATCAACATAAAAGGGAAAACCTAAAATTCATCATTAAAAAACAACAAGCAATAAGACAAATATTATCTAAAATCTCTTATCTATTACATGGTATATGTAGTCATGAATCGTCCAGGAAGATGCTTAAGTATTAAAAACCACAGAAAGACAAGTACTGGAAATTAATGTACGTACAGTATAGAACTCACATCGCAGCCAGGACAGGATTAAAAGTAAGTTCACCTTACGAGAGACTTATGTCTCGAGTTCACAAGCTGCCATCTGTTCTTCGTTTTTCTTGGCAATTTAACCTGCCTGTGATAAATGTTCTATTGCTAAAATGCACTGATGACTAAACAAACATTCTATATTGGAAAAAAAAATCAAATTAATTGAATTTATGCAGTGGTTTCTCGCCCATTACAGACTAAAACCTCTGCTAAGCCTGCAGGCTGTCATGGCTGAATCTGCTGGTGGCACTGTGTTTTATTTCTTACAACAAGGATTTTGTAATTATAAGAAATGTATAATTACAGAGCTTTGACAGTGCTTCACATTGTTGTGCCTCCATTTACTTAGCAAGCATTCTCAAATATACCGAACTTGAATAATAATAAAAACAACACAAGAACCCAATTAATAATCCTCAGTGTCAGTGTTTTGTTACCTATAAGGGCAATTATAGTAGATGTGCTCCTCAAATATAACCATTAGAGTTTTTTAATCAACAAAAAAATGCCTCGCCTAATGATTCTGCTCTAAAGCAGATGCGTTAAATAAAGGTTTAACCCTTCCCTGCCGCCTTTGCATTAATCCAGCCAATAAATCCCATCTGACTATACATTCCTTTTTCTTATCATTTAAAAAAAAAGAGGTAAAAGGCCAAACACACTGCAGGCTGATGATTTCAAAGGCAAGTCCAGGCACTTTCTAAAAAGCTACTGAAACAGTGAACAGTAACCCTAAAATGCCAAGATAAACAAAAAAAATGTATAAAAAGACACAAAGATCCAAATAATGGCCTGTGTCTGCAAATTGATTGCCTGGTCAACTATGATATTAATTTGTCTGCTCACAAAATTAGAATTTAACATTGCCTGTTGTCGGCAGGGGAAAGAGAGGCAGTGTTACTGAGGCATATGATCCTTACCCCTCTCATTTTCAAGCACCATTTCCCCTTTCCAACATGTGCTTTTGTCGAAAACAACAACCTCTGTCACCCAAACTGAATTCAAAACAAAATGATTGGCCAGGCTCTCTCAAGGCTCAGGAGTTAGATAGTTAACCACCAGCTAGACTTAAACCAATGGTTTCCACAGGTGTGTGGAACAAACAGCATGAGCACACACGAAGACACAGGACAATACAAGTTGTTTTCTTTTTCTCTACCTGGGATGTTCTGCGCAGCTCCTACGTCAACGATGAGACAGCAGAGAAGGAAAAAAAAAAAAGAAGAAAGGCAAGATGTAAACAAGAGTTTTTATTGTAATACAATACAATGTAATATAATAATTAATTTTGGAATCACAGGAATCAAAAAGAGACTGCAATCACACAATGTTTTACCTTTGGATGGATGGGATATGTCTTCCAACCCACCATGCTGTCCCACATATTTTTTTATATTTAAATATGTTTATATTTATTTCTGTCTTAAAAACACAGTGGTCACGAGCTATTGATAATGTGTTTCTTTTTAATTCCCTTTCCTTCCCTGTACAAACCACTGCCGGATTATCCCTGCTAGTTAGGTCAGGTAAACTACAGTATATCAAGCAGGCGTGACTGTGCCTTCATCCATCAATCAGATCTGCACTAAAAAGTTAGGAGAATTAATCCTTCGTTTAGGAACTGATTAAATATGCACATTTATTTGCAAATCGTGCATATGCGCTATGTTGTACCAGCTTTTCATGATCAGTGCTTGAGATGGAACATGTCAGTAAAACTGTACACTACAAATAAGTGAATTTACACTACGGTAGGTGTGCTCAGCAGAAAGGGAAAGATCAAAGAACACAGAAAAGTCAAAGACCATTTAAAACACAATATGTGTTAATGAGCGACCACACAAAACTACCAGTAACATAACTGCATGTTTCAAACACCGAACTCAATAAAACAAATAAAGCATGACTTTCAGGGGTATTTGTAATCATTCACCTGTCACCATACTTATTTTGCAGGTGAGCAGTATTTTCCCCAACACACTACTGTGGAGACGGAAGACTGTCATAATCCATGTTGTGAGGTCAGGATTGTGAAAAGAAGAACTATTGTGCCTTCAGGATATGCCAAATTGCAATTACAGTATGCTGACACTGATTATAACATATTCCTAGACTTGTATTTTTACCTGCTGTAGAACCAGGCAAGCAGTGACATTAAGAGTGAACAACCTCAATCTTCAAAGAAATGATCTGACTTTTCTGCAGTGATTCTGCTGTACTTTAAAGATAAATAGCATTTTTAAACATAAGCATTTTATTTTCATTTTCCTGCATAGGATGATTAATTTGAATAATGCACTGCAATGTTTTCAAAGTAAAAAAATACACATCTAAAAATATTTCTTACTACATATTGAAGTTGTATATATACTATATAGTATATGCGTATAACAAAAAACTCCAGTGATAAAGGGATAATGAATCTTTTTTAACTTCTAAGAGCGTCCTTCTTCTTGAGAAACTTATAAAGCAAACCATTATAAATATAAGTAATAGGTTTATTCCATGCTGAAAAAAGAAGAAAGAAAACACAACATTTCGGCCGTGGGGCCTTCTTCAGGTAAGCATTATAAATATATGTGTCTTGAGATTATAATTTAGGACATGTTCAGAAAAAATGATGTTTATGATGTTTTTGAACAGTTTTGTTTAGCTAATCAAACCATTTGATGTTTGGTCAGTTCATGTTGAAAAGGTATTGCAATGTTTCTTGCAAAGTTAAGCCAAACGTTCTCATGAAAAATAAAATGTTCTGTTCACTTGCAAAGGTAGTTTTCAATTTGTTTTGGCAATGTGGATTTAGGAATATTTAAATGATGGGCAAGATATACAGTATTAGTTAATTAAGATTAATGAACCACAGTAATTAACAATCAAATACAGTAAACATGAAAGTTACCCAAGACCATACATGTATATTTTTTTCTGTGATGATGAGACAGCCTCACTCATTTAAAGCAACTCTGTGAAGCAAAAACAGAATGTAGACTTAAGTTACATGATTAAACTACAAATTCTGCAAGAGGTACTGCTTAGATGAGTGATTATAATTACAAGTAATGTAAAATGTCACAAGTCTTAATTCAAATCCATTCTCTATTGGAGTTGTCAGATGGTTGACAAAAAGTAATTGTCAAAATTAGCAAGCACAGTTATATAATGCAATATACTGGTAATGCAATATCAAATTCAAAATCATAAGGCTCCAAACATGAACCTTAAAATTTTGTATTGCTACACCCATTGAACTGTCTTCAACTTCAGACCTCATCTGAACACAGCTATGGCATGTTTGTCACAGAGAGCATGCCTGTGTTTAAGTAACATTTAACATAAAAATATAACCCTGTCTAATTGACTGTCTGGTAGATAGTAGAATCTTTCCTTTGAAAGATTTGCATCCAATTGGAGGGGAATTATTTAAAATAAAACTTTTGCACTAAAAACATTTGAGTATACTGGCCTTTAAGCCATCCAGAATCACATCTGTGGCAAGATGTTCTTCTTTAATTACTTTTCTCGACTTGCACGCCCTCTGATGCAGAAAGATAAATGAACTAATAAATGCACCTCCTTCCACTGCTGCTGCTAATAATAATCATCCCCACAACATGTACAAGAACAACAATAATAACCTGTGAGTTATTATTAGTCTTAAAAAAGTCCGGTGGCCAGCTAGGTTCTGGTATGGACAGTATGCAGTTCTGAGTATACATTTCTCATCAATGCTGTGTGCCTGGAATACCAACAGGGAAACTGAGAAAAGATCCTTGATGTTTCTTTTTAAGAATTCACGTCAGGGCACAGGCTGAGCCGCTAACTAGTTCTGAGTGCCTGCTGGCCCCCAGGCCAGCCTGGGAATCACAAGCTCCGAACACATGCCAAGGGAAAGGTCCACCCGTGTTAAGTAAATGCAGGGCTGAGAAGAATAATTCTGTGTTGCGAAATCCCCGGTGTCTCATTGAAGCCATCTCCACCTTGCAAGAACTGTCTGTGTTGATGCCTGCACTTTACACCCAAGGTTAAGCTACCGGTTTTGACCACAGAAATGCATTATGCATGAGTTATTTCAAGAAGAAGGTGCCTCCTGCCCCAATGAGAGAAGCACATTAACTGCGGGTCAGCATGCATGTGCTCTATTAACAAACTTCTGTGCCACTGTACCACATTCACACCTCAAAGACTCACTATGTATGTGACATCCAAAGGGCGCAGAAGAACAGTTAATTCATAGCGGGGGTTAATTAGAGTAAAACACCAAAGGCATTAGAAGAAAACTCTTTAGCCCTGAAAGACGTCTGTAGGTTGGTTTGTCTTGTCAAACCTTTCAATTTCAGAAACTGAGACGCACAGGTGGAAGGACATACTCAATTTTATTCAGGGTAGGTCATCCAACAGTATCTGCCCTGCCTGTTTTGAACTGAGTGAACTTCCGGTTTTGCGCTCACGAAAGCAGGTGTTGTGCAGGAGCAGTGGATGGGCTGGTCAATTTTGAGGTGCTTGCACCAACTGAGCTGGTGAACAGCCTCCTGTAACGAAAGTGTTCTTTTAGGACCCTATGCAGACGACACGATCCGGGGTAGAGTGAGGAAAACACGGGGAAAAAGCATGCGGGAGTCGGGAATGAAAACAGGGGCCTGGTGTTTGGGGAAGGTGTGGCCAAGGCAAACAAACCAGAAATAAGTCCAAGGGGGAATCCAAGAGAAGGCGAAAATCCAAAACCGGGTGGTCCATCCAAGACTAACAGAATAAAAACGGGAACCGGGTTGGAACCGGCAGGAACGGGAACTTAAAAGCTTGACGGGTCCAGGCGCTGGTACGGAAACCAATGCAGAGCCCGGAACAGAGTAGGCGTCTGGCCTTTAAGGGGAACTTGAAAGGGCTGGAGCGTCCTTAAGAGGATGGGTTTACGAAGTGCAATGTTAAGCAACAGTTCTGTACCAGCAGAGTGATGCTTCCTATTTTATTACTGAAGCTTCAACAAGTGATCTCCAGTCTCCCTAGAATACATCCCAGCTGGCAGCCCTGAAGCAGGCTGAGTTTGCTTTATTAAGGTTTGCGACACTGCACTCGTGCATAATATTCTACCCAAAGAAAGCATGCGTTGCTCATTTCAAAAATGGGAACTTTTTATTTAACCACATTTTTTTTCTCTCTCTTTATAGACAGGGTTCAAAAGTATTAATGTTTTGATTAAATCTGAAAGGAGCTGCCTACAGGCAATTAAATATGACATGATATGTGTGCCACATTAAAAAAGAATTAGGGAGTGGGGAAAAAAAGAACATTTATTTTAACTCTTTCCCACAGCGTTTTCCAGTGTGCCAATACATAAGACATACATTTAAGAAGATGTATTTTTGGATGAGAGCTTTTGATCACTGGCTGCCAATTTTGAACTTTTTTTTTTTGCATTATGCTGCGCGATTAAAATACATTCATCATAAAGTTCGTAAACAGCTCTAACATTGTGAGCAAGCACTCGAGCATGAATCCAGGATAAATGCATTAGGGCAATGTATTTTATCTCAGCATGGCAGCGTCGCTGTCTCCCAGGAAGGAGCAATCCATAACAAGGGAGGTTTAAGGAGCTATTTCACAACGCAGACAGGTTGGAGAATAGAAAGGGTTACACATTCCTGTTGTATGCACTAGAATGCACAGGGACAATAAGATCATTTACAAAAGTTGCAGAACATTCAGTCCTGCCGACACTATTTATAGAATATCTGCGCCCGTCCATATGCTACTGTACTTGAGCCACATTAGCCAAGGATTTATGGGCTGTCAGCACTGCTGTGATTAGATGTCGTTGCTGTCATTCTATTAAGCTGATATTGATGGCCAAAATTCTGTGAAGATGCATTATGTGCCTTTTGAAGGAGCAAGGCCACCCGATGCTGGTAATCGATTCTACTGTAATCTGTCAGCAGGCGAGGTGAAGGAAGGAGGGACAGAACGGACCCAGGTAAAAAAAAACAACCTCTCGTTCCTGGGAAGGTGGCAACACATTCCCCCCACCTTCTCTTTAACAAGGGAGATTTAGCTTCTTCCCTGAATCCATAGGCATGGCAAGATAACTTGACATTTCAGCTCTCGGGAAGAGAAAACCACACTTGTGATTGGGGTCACTGAGGATAGAGTTTAATGGAAAGGAAAATTAAAAAAAAAGAATTAAAA